CGCTGGGCAAAAGTTTAAATGGATAAAGCACCAATAATAAAATATTTTCCATGTCCCGGCCTGGCTTAGATTAGCACTAGGCGAAAATTTTTTGAAATTTTTTGTGTGCATGGAGCCTGAAACGGCCAAAATACAGAATATTTTAAAAAATTTGCTCAAAAATAACTAGGGTCACGCCATTTTCTTGTCTAAAACATCGAAAATAAAAAACATACAAAGACCTTTTTCATCAAACTACATTGTTGCCAGGTTACCGCCCGGAAACCATGTCCCGGCCTGGCTTAGAAAATTTAAACAATAATTTTTAAATAGTAAATTTAAGATAGAACAAAATGCAAATAATATAGCTATACTAAGAAAACAAGTAGCACAGATTCAAGCTATACTACTAGATGCAGAAAGTAAAGCAAAGATACAAAAATTATGTAATATGAAAGTAGATTTTGATGCGGATAATGGCAATGAATATGAGGAAGTTTCGACTGGATTTTATACATTTATCAAGTTTGGTATTACTGGATTAGCAGCTGCTGCTTGTACAGTTGGTGCTACCCCGGCAGGTGGTGCAATTTGTGGAGGTATAGTATATGCAGCTTTTGAATTATCAGTGGGACTTTTCGAGCATGTCTGTCAAAAGGAGGTTGCACGTAAAGGATAATTTTGATAATATATTATCTGTTTAAAATATTTTAATCAAAAAATTTTTTCGTAATCGTATTTTATAAAAAATATTTTAGTCAGTTTAAAAATCAAATTTTTATTAATAATTGCAGTATAAAGCGTAATACTATTATAGAAATCGAAAATTCCCCTATTCACCGACAAGCGAAACTTTCTGAAAGTTTTGAAGGCAAGATAAATCCTCTGATATACGTTCAATCCCCATGATATCGCCGAAATCTGTCCATAACCACGTATATCACCAAGAGGTGAATGATACGTTATCGGTTTCATCCTAGCCATTAAAAACTCGGAAGTTTTGTCGGGTTTCGTTTTTTCAACCCGAAAACCCTTAAAATTTTTCAAACCCTGACCCGAAACCCTACTTTTCCCATAGGATATTTACATTTTCCATTAAACTTTTCAATAGGGTTGTTGGCGACCGGTTATTAACCGGTACCCCCGGTTTTCGGTTAATCTGAATTTTATAAACCCGGTTTTCGGTTTTGAGTTTTAGGCAAATACCGGTTTATTTTTGGGGGAATTTTAAATAAAATCACTCATTTTCACAAATTTCCGGTTTTCGGTTTTTAAAATTTTTTAAAAACGGTTAATTTTTGGCAAAAAATTTCAAAAATTCCGGTTTTAAAACCGGTCGCCAACAACCCTACTTTTCAACTTAATCACTCTTAATCTCGAATCACTTCTCTGTGCCTCAAGCGAAATTTTGAGAATTTTAGAAGGATTAAGAAAAAATTAAATTGTTAGAGCTGACACAAAATGTTTTTTGAAGTGTTAAGTTTAAAATATTAAAAAATAAAATTACAAATTTAAAATCAAGTTCAAAAATTTTTATTTTTGGAAGAAAAAATAACAAAAAATCTTATTTACCCATAATTGAGGCGAAAACCCAGCCCAACAGAATTTCAAAGTGGGTGAATCTTAACTTCTAAACCACAAACAACCACCGATCAACAAAAGTAGGAGTGGGAGAAATATAAATATTTCTTTACCGTTTCCTTTAAAAATTTAATCAGAGGAGAGGTTTTTTGCAATAATATTTTTTAATTTTTATATTTATTTTTGTAATTCGAAATTTTTCCCGATATTTTCGTAATCATAATTCATAATTACGACGCAACTCTGGCAAGAAGGTCGAAAAGTGGGCAAATGCCTCCCAAATGAGGTAAAACGGTCACCCTATATCTTGGAAAAGTTTGTAAGCTTGTCTAACAGCGGAGAACTTATTATAACTGTGTTCCAACAAACGTAGGGTTAAATTGTGGGATTAAAGGGGATATAGACTTCCGTAATCTATTGATTCATTACAAATATTGATTTATAAATGTTATTTAGTTATTATTATGTTAGTTATTTCATTACCAATGAAATTCAAAGTAAATTCCAAAATTTTGAAGAAATTTGATATTTGATCAAATATTCGACATTGCTGATCAAATTTTTTAAAAATATTTTCAAATACGAATATTTTAATTTCGAATATTTTAAAACATCAAATTATTTGATACTCGATTCTATTATGAATATGCTAAAGTATATCATACAATATCAGGGGATTTGGGGTATATACCGTGGCCTATATATCGGAGGATGAAAAGAGGATATCGGAGGTTTAAAGTGGATATCGGTAGACATCGTTTATAAAAATTATAATATTTTAATAATGAAAATATTATAATATTTTAATAATGAAAATATTATAAAATATTAAAAATATAAAATAAAATATTCTGACAAAATGTACAGGGTGCGTAAAAAGTCCTTGCCCACACTCTTTTGGGCATAAAAATTTATTCAAGTGGAAGTTTGCGAAATAAATTCACACATACAATCACAAGAATGTGTGTTATTAGTAGAGCGTGTTTTTTTAGGTCCAAAATATTGCTAAATAGGATCCTATTTAGGTCCAAAAAAACTTAAAAATAGGTCCGAAATAGGTCGAAAAAGGCCAAAATAGGTCCAAATTTTGACAAAATAGGTTCTAATTTTGGTTGAAATTAAAACATTTATGATATCACTTTTACTAAATTTGAACTTTTTTATGATATTTTTTAATTTTAAATAGAAATTTACTGAAATTTGAGTGATATAACAATGCCTAACCCTAAATACCGTAGCATTTTAAGGGATTTCGTAATATAAGGGGTGTACGAAATAAAATGGGATATCGATGGATTTGAATTGAATGGGGATTTATTGGGTTAAAGGGATTTGGATAGGCGGGGGAGTTGTAGCATTTAATTAGGATAAAGAATAATTAAAGAAATATCTTTGATTTAACGTTATATCGGGAGATTTTTTTCTTTCAAATCCACCTAGGGGGATTCTGAGGTATACAGTGAAAGAAAAAATTAAAACCTAATTTACTAAAAATAATAATCCAGAACCCCCACTTAACAACACAAATCTCCGTTATCTCTTTTTATCGCCCAAATCAATTATTCCACTCCAAATTCATTGATATCTTTTTTTATCTGTCTAAATTCCCAAATAAACAAATAAAAATTTAAAAAAAAATTGTTGACCAAAATAGTGTCGGCATTAAAGTTCAATATTCAGGGAAAATCACTGAAATGTCTAATTTAAATGTTAACCTTACAATTTTCGAGGGCAGTTCTAGTACGATGGCAGATTCTAGTTCCTACTAAATGAAGATATACCAGAATACTAGCGCCGCAGGCAAAATTTTTTGGGTTTTTGGGTGTTAAAGATGCTATATTTGGCGGAAATTGACTAAAAATAAGCAAATTTAAGAAAAATTTTCAAAAAACCTAGAATAGGTCCAAAAAAGGTCGAAATAGGCTCAAAATAGGTTTTAGGTCCGAAAAGGTCGAAATAGGTTTTTTAGGTTTTAATAACTCGAAAAGTACGTTACACTATGCGGTAAAACAGTGTTTTTTCGACTTATCTCATCAAAGGCCGTTCGCAAAAAAAATAGGTAAAAACCTAAAAAAACACGCTCTAGTTATTAGAAAATTAAAAAAAAGATTTGAAAATTTTACACATTTGAGGATTTTTTTTTTTCAATTTCACACAATTTTACACATTTTACACATTTTACAAAATTTTACAAATTTTACACAATTTCACACAAGCATCTAAAGCTTGTGGAAATTGACTTCGATGGTCGCAACTTCATCATCACCAATAGTATGGTCCCGGGCACGCTTTAATGAAGTTTTAAAATTCTCATTTATTTTTTATATTTTCCGCCTAATAATTTGCTTCAAAATTGACCAAAAAGAATAGTCCAAAGGATTAGGATCTGGTAAGTTAAGATCCGGTTAAGATCTGGTAAGATATGGTGAAGGATTAAGGTCTGTTGACCTCTTATTTAATTTTTTTAGAGTTAAATTGATATGTAAAATTAAAAAAAATCGAATTAATCATAAAAAAATTAATATCGGCCTTAGTAAGACTGGTCACCTGCTCATGGGGCAAAAACAACAATTCAGCTGTGTGTATTTTGGAAATTTAAATGTCCGAAGATTTCCAAAAATCCCATCTTGGGGCGTATTTTTATAAGCTCAAAAAAGTCGAGACCAAGACTTCACTACAAGTTCAAAACCTAAAAAACCCAAGAAATGTCTTGAGTCAAGACAATCTCTACTAATAAATCTACATATGTACATTTGATTAGATTTTTTATTTATTAAAAATTAATAAAACATATAAAAGCATGGTTGAAATATATTTAGTTATCATTTGAAATATAAAATTCCAAAAGTTCCTTCTGTAAGAAAGAGAGATCTATGTAGCTGGGTAGCATTTAAAACGATTAAAAGGGATGGCTTAAAATCCATTAAAAGAGTTGAAAGCTCAATCGGTAGAGCTCGGAGGTGCTTGGAAGTCGCAGAATGCCTGCTCTGCAAATAATTTTCATATCCAATACTTGGAACTTTTGAAAAAAATTTAAATTTTTAAGTTTAATGGTAATGAATAAATAGTTTGTAAGTCGCCTTTCCTCTTTTATTTTCTATTTTTTTATAATTTTTTTTTGTTTTATAGAAATTTTATATCATTCGAAAGTCCCATCAAGCTGAGACGAACGACATTAAATTAAACGAAAACTAACTTGAGTGAACAAGGTTGGGACCGTTTAGATATTTTATTCCTCTGCATTGGCACAAAGTTTTTTCAACGAAGGTTTAGCTTCATAATTTAGTTAAGAATCATCAGATCTAGCCAATCTTGGTATCATTCGACCAAGCTTGAAAAACTCTTTCGAATGATATATATTAAATTATATATCGAACAAAAAAAGCTCAAAACGGTCAGGGAAAAAAGGGGGACGACTTCCAAACTACTACCAATTTAATTTATAATTTAAGCAATTCTTTCAGTGCACGTATATCCTTAAGCAATTTTTCACTTCTTATGAATGTTAACTTTCGCTCTTTGAGATATTCAACAATAGCCAGATTGTTGATAATATTTTTATAACTCGCAAGATTCATATATGCCTCTGCTTCTGATTTGCGCTTCTCATCCTCGTATTTTTTAGCAGTCTTTGTATATTGAACTATCGTATCCTGTGTTTCGTTGAAAAATTTTGAAAAATATTTGTCGATTTTGTCAATTTCCGCATGGCAATGTTCCACTGCAAATAATGCAACATCCATCCTTACAACTATTTCTTTATTATTCTCATTATATCCGTTTATTATCAGTTGTTGTCCTTTATCTATCTGGTCTTCAAATACAGAACGGATGTTGGTAAGTGCTTTGATTTGTTCAGAAGCATGATTCCGTGCTTCGTCCATGTAGCAACTTAAACAGGGTAATTATCTACATAATAACGCACTCTCACCATATTTTAGTTTCAGATGAATTTTCCTTTATTATCTTCAGCCTTGGCTATTTTTTCCTTCCTAATTTTTGTTCATCTAAATTTAAAGGGAAACCTTAAAATACTTGAGGAAAATAAATGTTTGCAACAAAGAAAAATTAATCTGAAACTCATATACAGAGGGGCGAGATTTCATAAAATAAATACCTTATACAAATATTCACATTTGGTGGATCCGGAAAAGCTGCCCAACAATCAGATACTCCCCTAGAAAATATAAATGATATAAATTTACAGCTCTCTTTATTAATGACTGTAACTCAAAATAATATTTAATTATAACGAAACTATTTGATTTTTTAACAAAACTATTTGCTACCAAAACCGTTCATTTTAGAACCAAAATCCTTTTTATTAATGATCGGAATTTTGTGGAATATAGAAAAATGCCGAAAATCTGGAATACAAAAAAATCACATGCAGATATAAATACCGATCTACTTTAAAATCCTATCGGTTTTTTCCGTGCTACTATTGTTTAACGTAACCATATTTTAAAAGCATCAAAAATTAAAAACTATAACTTTCGATAAGTCCATAGGAGGAGGATAATACAACATTTATAAACTTGTCTTTATGTAAATTTTTTTAATTTAACTTTATTACCTGTCACAGTTACATAAAGCTTCTTGGCATTTATCGTTACTCAAATCAAGGCAAAGGAAGGTTTTATCAGCTTAATAAATAATAGATTTATTCAGAAAATTTTTAGTTTATTTTAGAGCAAGGACAGACCTACGTTATTTTTCGATATTTATCGGTATTCTGTATTGGTGGGTCACAGAATATGTTAAGAAAATTTTTTGTATTAACGTACGCTACAAATTCCGATCTCTTTTTAAAAATTTTTCATTTTTTTGTTCGAAATTTATTTTTAATTTAATTCAACCTAAACTTATTTAAATTTTAAATGAAAATTTTCTTTCAATTAAATATTTAAAAACTTTTACCTTCACTATAAATTTTATGATGATATTTTGTCTTATCAATTGAAACATAATAATTCTCCTGAGGAATGGAAGGACATTCTTTTCGTTTTTCTTTAATACATTCGCGGTGTTCTTCGCAACACCTATAGGTTTAAGCTTTCAGAAAAATCGAGGAAAAAGTTTTAATATGATTAACTAATACTAAATACTATAATTTTAATTAAGGTTCGATCCCAATCTTCAAGTAAGAGATTCCCCGTAGACAGTGAAATCACTCTGAGACCCGACCTAGTTTTAGATAGGTATGTTATATATTTTCCGTTATTATATTAGTTATATTTTCGTCCTTTCCCCTTATACACCAAAGGAACTCGGAAATGGCTCAAAAGTCGGAAATCAGTTTAAATTTTCGGAAATCAGAAGTAAAAAACGTCGGAAATTGTCATTTTATTTGGCTAATTTAAAGCACTATTCTTTAAATTTTAAATTAAAAATTATATATACTTGTTAATTCCAGAAACTTCATCTTTTGGATTTCCGCAACTAAAAATCACAATAAATTTTAATATAATTTTTTAATAGTTAATTACTGGCAACTATATTTATCATAAAAAGATGGTTTATCATAGTAAGCGCATTTTGGCTATAATAATAAAATTAAATGAATGAAACAAATCCCTAAAAGGCTTACATTAATTACCGGCGAACTGTATTCTCCATTGTTTGTCTTAAATTAAATAAGAATAAATCTTCTAAAATCATTATAGTGATATTATTTTTAAAATTATTTTCTATATAGTTTTATTTTTCAGTTTAATTTTTAAAATTATACTTAGCTGAACGTTGAGATACTGTAGATCTAATGCGTAAATTTCTATATAATTATTTACATCATTATTTCGAAAAATAGATTCACGCCCTGAAATAGGACCAACCTTTAGAGTTTTTTAAAAATTCAGCCTCTCGGGAATTATTTTCTGTAATACGGTATATTATAATAAAATAGTAAGCCCGTAGCAGCGTTGTTGGTTCTTGGAAAATCCTTGAATATAATAAACAAAACCGAAAACCTTATTAAAATGCCCTCGGTTTTTAGGTTTGATTCTGAACCGACAATTGTTAGGGGGTGTGTGTAGCATCATTATTAGGGGTGTGGTCTTGCATAAAATATCATTTTTACGTTTTTTAGCTACGCATCTTTAAATATTTTTTAAATTAAATTAATAATAAACTCGGTATCCTTTAAGCTAAGTGAAACATAAATTTTATTTTTTAGATTTAATTTACAAAAAAAATTTCAGCTACCCCTTCCTCACATCCCTCAAGTTCATGCAATCCAATATAAACTTTACGATCACCTAAGGGATCATATTGTTTGTACCAAAATTGCAAGTCTGCCAAAAATGATGTAAACGGGTGATCAGTTTTATTCGTTTTGGGAAATTGTTTCATAAGTTCTTCTAAGAAATTATAAAAAAATAATAATTACTTTAATCAAATTACCTATTGCTGCAAAATCAGAAGAACTAATAATTTCCAGAAATTTTAATGGTGTAACGTTAGAAAAATTGGCCGAATAACTTAATTTTATAAAAATTTTATTTAGAAACTTCTATGAATTATAAATGTTTATAGCCTAAATTTTTAAATAATTTTAATTTTTAAAGAAAGATATGGCTTAAAGGCAAAATTTAATGCCAAAAAATACCGTTATATATTCAAATATGTAAACATTAAGAATCGGATCTAAATCCTTGTACTCGTTTAAGTGCTTGCCATAATCTCTTATTGTAAACCATATATTTTAGCTATTTAATTCCTAAGGTGTGAGGCATTGTGCCGGTCTACTGAAGATGCTGGTTTAAACCTTTGCACTAGCTGAAGGGGAGAAATAGCCATAGCCCAGCTCTTTACTTCATTAATAAATATCCAAAATTATACATATACATATTATTTCTAATATAGTGCCACAATCTTATGAATGCCACCTCTAAAGCAATATCTTTCTCTAATAGATACCACACATTTGAATGCCTCTGTGTAGTATGATTGAAAATGCCCGGGCATCCAATTTTATAGAAATAGAAATAAATAATCTTAACCTTTTTCCATAAAAGTCATTAACGAATTCAAGAGTTTCGTTTGTATGGTTATAGTAAATCTTGAACCCGTTCCACTCTAATTCAACACCGTTAGCATTCCTTGCGCATTGTCCACGTTCCTTACAGATTTCACACATTCTTGGGCCGGTTCCGGGTGACTGCTCGTATGTAGCATACAGTTTATAATTTACAAGCAAATTAGGGTTCATGATAAGGCTTTGATAGCAAATTACGATTCTGTAATTTTAGAAGCATGAAAATTATTGACTGAATATTTTGAAAAAATTTTATCGGACGGAATATGGAACAGAACCATCATTGAAAGGTCCAAGCCAAAAGCCTAGCTACTAGTCATACGGTACCAACATGTTGAGGCGAGGGAGGGGGATGAACCGTCATGCGTAGAACCTTGTTTATCTTGCTTTGTCTCTTTATTTTGAATCTGGATTACAATTATGACCTCTTAATGCTACTGTGAAAAGGGCTTTGAAATTAAATAAAAATTACTTACGAAACGCATTTCGAAACATATTTTGCTAACTCAGTAACATTTCCGCAAGTCATATTTTCATAAGGACACTCCGTGTACATAACCTCCTCCCCCGAGACCTTAGATGGAAAGGTCGCAGTAACACCAAACAAAACAGCAAGAATTAAATAATTCATTAAGTTAAATTTTTAACTAAAATTTAATATGTATAAATTTAATTTTTTTGGATAAATCAAAAACAAAAATAAGTTTAGACGTTTTTTTTCAGTTAAATTTTTTTCAATTTAGGATTTTATTTAAGGTTTTGTATGTCCAGATCGGGGCTAATCGAAATTTCGCTCTTTTCCGAAAACTGATTTGCTTGGAAAAAAGCGATTTCGGAGTGTTTCAGAATTGCTAAACGTAAGTATAATTTCGGTTTGAGTTAGTCAAAATTGGTGATCTCATTGGCAAAATTCAGGAGCAAATATATTTCAATATCTGTAAAACTTTTATTGACTACCCTCGGTAATTATTGTTAACCTTCCGCTAGAGGGAATAATTAACACTTTTGTGGGGTGGGGTAATTATTGTTTCAATCTATTGCTGATGAGGCAAGTAATATAAGTGGGGTAATTATTTGAGGGAGGGCAATAATATGGTTTTAGGTAAGCTAGTTATTGTAAAAAAACATGAAATTTTGCCGAGTACGTTGCTCGCGTTTTGAAATATATTGAAATTTTTTCACTTATTTATATGAGATAAATCAAAAGAAAATTTTATTAAAAGTTATAAATAATGGATAGCACGATTAATTTAAATGTAAAGAGTAATGAAAAATCGCTAGTATTAATATCTGTAGTAAATTTAACAAAAAAAAAATATTAAAAAATTTAGTTAATCATTAAAAATTCATTAACGGTGTTATTTAATATTTTCCCAACGCTATTTATGTATTTCTGTTTAATTTCAATCAAATTTATGAACGATCAGATGATTATATTAGCTAATATTCTAATAAAAATTTAGCGGAAGCTGAATATGATAAAAATTTGAGAAATAATTAATGATTAATTTCAATTTAATATGACAAATATTAAAGAATCATATACTAAAGCTGATATTGGCTATACTATTTTTACGAAAAGTAATTCGGCAATTGGAAACGAACCGGAGGAGCAAATCGGCATCTTCAGATGAGCGGACTTCAGATACAGATACTTATGCAAAGAATAGAGACCTGTTTTAAGATATTTTGTGTTTAATCCCTAGAATGTTATTGGAATGTAAATAACCAGAGTATTTCAAAACGGAATGAGTTGAAGAAACTGAAATATTAATTTTTGTGTGTAAATGGGATTTAACTCGGTTGCTTCCTAGATTGTTCGAGCTTGTTCATAGAATTTATAATTCA